TAGATGTTAAGACTATAAATATCTTCTAAGTTTCTTTAGTGACAATATAAATTTTGATATGTTGTTTTCACTTTTTTTCAGCTCAAAATATTATTAATTTCACTTGTGACTTTTTCTTTGTTCCATGTATTATTTGGAAGAATATTACACAGTTTCTCAGTATTTATTCTATCCTATGTCCCACAAGTCAAGTCTCTTTGAGGCTCCAGGTGCTATTGATTTTCCTGAGTGATTACTGGGCAATGAGGCCTCTAATTGTTTCTGATGGTTCTTTTCTCAATGTTAGCTTTCTTCCCTACATGATAGGAGGATTCAGAAAAATACTTTAATGGTGACCTTTGTGTATTTCCTGAGTTCTCTGTCCAGTACTATAGTACTCTGATGAATTTAGAGTTTATCAAACTCTGACTGCTTTGGTCTCCCTAGATGCTCAGCTTCATCTTCTTAGCTCATGGAATTTTCTAGTATCTGCCTATGTTTCTCTTCTGCTACTGAGGCCTAGAGACTTTCACAGAGCAGTAAGCTGGGGCAAGGCGATTTCCTTGTTTTCCAACTCAGTGACCATTAGCTTTTATGATCTGCTGTTTCATGTCTTCAAAGTGTTATTTTTGTCTTTTTTGTGGATCTAGATGTGTGATAAGGACCAGAGGTAAAACTTGTACCTGTTACCCTGTGTCTAGATGATATTATTTTGTTAATGAACAATTGTTTTATCCAAACTGATTTATCAGTGTAAGAGAATATGTTTCACTCTAGGTTCTTAGATTAATTCATTATCTCAAAGGATATTGCAGCAGTATATAAAGAATTTTTTTTCTTTCTCACTTTTTAAAATATGTATTTTCTGGGTAGGGAAGTTTAGAACTACACACTGACTGACACAGTGCAACACACTTTATATACATATTGTGTATTCGTATTTTAAATGATTTTTCATGTACATGCTTTCATTTGATGATGCATGGTCAAAGCCAGACTATTAAGGGCAAAGTAACTTTTAAGTGATCCTCAGGAATGCCATGGCTTGCACGTGTAAAGCTGAACAGCATATGGCCTCTCTACCCAACTGCCATTTAATGTAATTTATGTTTATTAAGTAGAGTACTCAGTGCTACGTATATAACCTTATTTAACTTTTCCACCAAGATAACTGAAGAAAGTGCTATTTCCCATTCTAGAGATGGACAAACTAAAACATAAGAAAATGTGATCTTACCCAAGCTTACACAGGTAGTAAGTGCCATATCTGGTCTTAAACCAAGAATTGTCTGACCCCCAGACCAAAGTCGTAACCATTAATCTACCTTTTGTGGCTCTGATACTGGCTTCTATGTCTCTTGCTGCTTATCAAAGGCAAGGACTTTTGGACGTGATGTTTGCTGGGTGACATTTATCCAGAGAATAGGGTTATTATTTAAAGGTAGATGATATTTATCCAGAGAATAGGGTTATTATTTAAAGGTAGATGATAATAGGGATATTATTTAAAGGTAGATGGTAATTCATAATTTAGTTGATTCATTTTATTATCAGTTACTTTATATGAGTATTCCTTTCTCAGTTCTTCCTTACTAAAATTTAAACTTGTTTCTTTAACATCTAACATTTCAGATTCTCTTCCCTTATTTTTTAATTTTTAATACTTATTGCTTATGTATTAATAAATCGCACATATTTATTATCTATTTCTTCCTCTAACATATAAATTCTATGAGAACACAAAGTTTTGGCCATTTTGTTCACCACTGTATCCATATCATCTGTTGGATTCAATAAATATTTGTTAAATAAATTGACTTTTATGTTCAGACAGTGTTCTTAGAAGTATGTTCTTTTGATAATTGTTATGTAATAGAGTGGGGAGGTATATCTGAACCTGAGCATTTGGAAGCATTAAGGTCTACCCAAGTAGAAAGTCTAACTTCTCTTCGATATATATTGTCTGTCATAAAAAGCTACAGCCTAGAAGATGAAGATAAGATCATGGACGACTCAATGGTCCCTGAACTGTGAAGGAAGATTGTATTTGTATGGTAGCTTCTTTCTTTCTCCTGATACTATCAATTGTTAGGATTGTTATGTTACAGATGGATGGACCTTAATGAGGAAGGAGTAGTATAGTACCTAACAGCATGTGTCCCGGTCTCAGAGTGCTGACTTACTAACAGGTTACTAGAAATGTTAGAAGTCACTATTATTACATGTTGAAGATTTTTATCCTGAAACTTCAAGAGATTTTCTAACCCATTGAAACTGTATTCAAATTCACTGCGTTAAAGAGGTTGGAAGCATCTTTTTAAGGATGTCTATTTGATGGCTTTCATCAAATTTTCAAATATCCTATGGTACCTATACTTCTTTGAGCATCAAAGATCAAGTGACACTTATAAATAAATCCTTGCAATGTATTCCTTTGATTTGGCTTAAATTCCCTTAAAGGGAGCCAGAATCTTAATATTTTGAAAGCCCTAAATAATTCTTTTTTACTTACACTAGCACCTATGGAGACCACAGCCACAAAACCACAACGAGTTTGCTACTATTCTAATCACCTTTTTAGGACTGAGGTTAAATCATTTGCTTATACTCACATGATAGACCAAAAAAAAAAAAGAAAGAAAAAAAGAAAGAAACAAACAAAACAAAAAACCCCAAAAACCCTCATACACAAATTTATAAAATAAGTTATCACATTTTTTAAATCAATTATACATACTCATCTCTCTCACAGGAATGTAGTTCTTTGAAAGTAAAGAAGCATCATTCCTTATTAATCTTTGTAGCCTCAGCATCTGGAAATGGTAAAGCACATCCCCACTTGCTCAATATATATATTTGTTATGTAATGATTAAGCTGGAAAGTTGGCTCAACTCTTCTGCTTATAAATCTTCAACATATCCTTATTTCGTGAAATCATGAAATTAATCTAGAGAAAAGGTCTCAATCTCTCGATCATTTTCTGATGTACTGCTCTACCATTTTCTCCTACTCAATATCTTTCTCAGCTATCATACTAATACAAACTAGTAAATAAGCACATTCATGTCCAGAGAAGAAAGTAAAACATGAATTAAAGTCTAATGAAAAGAAAAATATATAATTTGCTTCTATTGAAAGCATATGAGGACTAAAGAAAATAGTATGTTTTATTAATAAAATATTTGATAATATTTTTAGAAAGTCATAAGAATTATATTTCTTAATAATCCTAAGTAACTCATCACAGAAAATTCCTGTTTCAGTTTTTAAAGATCTGATCAATTTTATAGCTACTAGCTAAATTCCATCTCTCTCCCTGTATCTGTAGCATCTACCATACCCTTAATACATTCTTTCCTATGTATTTATAGTTCTGTTATTTTTCCTGACCAGGTTTTCCTTACTTATCATATTGTTATTATTATATTAAATTCTTTCCTACCTAATAAATCTTTTTAATCAGTTAGATGAAGAGTATTCCTTCATGATGGGAAATAGGTGATGAAAATTAAGGGAATCCATCAGCAAAGAATCAAGCTTAATAAGTAGGGAGAAAAGAGGTGAATAAAAGTTTTAGGAAAGAGAGCAGGTGGGCAATAGGATCATCGATAGTATAAATAACACTATGTTGATTTTTTTATTATGTAATCTCAGCATACCACCCAAAGAGTATTTCTTAATTGGTTAATGAATGAGTAAAGATTCTTATCATTAACATCTATGGGTAAACATACTGATTTTCCTTTCTTTTTTTCTTATTTTTATTTTCTTTATTGTCATTTCTTATTTCTTTCACTTTAAGAACTACAATAAGCAAAAATTTGGGGCCCCCTAACGTCCTCAAAGGTTTTGCCTAAGACTAAGGTGCTGAGTTTGGTTTGGTAAATTCCATCAGGCCGTATGTATTTAAATAGATATGGAACTAATAAAATTGTATTAAATGCTTACCTCGGATATTTGGCTATAAGAAAGTCTTCTAGGCAAAAGACTGATATAAATCCTTTTAGTGCCTTTAAAATAATTTAGATTATCCAAGATCCATTAAATTCTACATTATAGAAATTCAAAGTAACTCATTCATTTCCAAAGTTTAACATTTTCTAACTTGATATCAAACATATGTATATTATGTTTGTGAAAAATGTACTTTACATTCCAAATGAGAATTTAAAAGCTATAACTCTTGATAAATATATCCCAACTCTAATAATTTATTGAACAAATAATTTGGACAAAACAATGGTTTCACATATAGTTTACAGTGAATTGTAGGGGGAAAAAACCAACAGTATTATTAACTTAATTTATTTAAAATAATAATATAGGTAGTTTGAAGAAAAAAACCGTATGTTATTAGATTTCTATTTCTTAGCATGAAGACATATTTATGTGTCTATATATTAGATTTTAAAATATAACGAAATATTAAAATTATTTGTACACTTCCTAATATCACATTTACACAGACGTATTCCTCAATTTTAATTTACTTGCAAGGTTGTATTGTAAGTGACCATTAAATTTGCTTTATTTAAACTAATCGAACACTAATTTCTATAGTGGTGGCAACAGTCATGGTACTTGTAGAATTGTACAGAATTCCTTTGACCACAGGCCACTGTTAATTGTGTTTGAGAATAATTTTAAGTAGCACTTGAAAATTCAGATCGTAACACTTATAAGTTTCAGTTCAAAAACACAAAGTGATTATATGGAGTGACACTTTATTATATTTTTAAAAAGTCCTTTTTTATTTCATCACTTGGAAGACCTAATGTCTTTTTACTGTGAATTAAAGAATTATTTTTTAAGATTTTAAAAATATCTATACTTTCTCATTTAACAGTAAATATTGCATGCAATAAGACGCTAGAAAAACTTCTAAATATGTATTAAAAGGACCAACTGATCAGTGCCGTGTATCAGTTAGCAAAGACTTGACAGTAAATTACTGGGTCTGACATGGGCATGCTATAGCATAGTATATTCAGCATCAAAAAATAAAGTAAAATGCCATTACCCTAAAAGACATTTCAAGATTCTCTCCACCCCAGATATCCATTCCTGCATCGTAAGTTCCTATCTCTTCAAAGTAGTTTCTGTCAATAGAAAATAGGCCACCAGCCATAGTAGGGGTCCTAGTTGAAAAAAAAAAAAAAGAAAAGAATATCTTTTGAAAACAATGTGTGGAATTTAAAGAGACTATAGATAGCAAATATTTTTGAAACATTTTAATTATTAAAAATAATACTCAAAAATTTCAAACTGGAAACAGAAAATCAAGGTTTTATAAGTAATAAATAGCATTTTCTCTCACATTTTCTGTAAAATTTGCTTAGGATTAATCTATGTCATTCTTACAGATGGTCAAATAGCTACATGAAAAACACTGGCCACTTAAGACTGGGGCTTTCAGCTGCCTTCTAAAGGATAGTGAAGAAAGGTTTTTGCCTTGTGTGTTGTCCTTAAAGAGATTAAGTAACTGGTCATGAAATTACCAGTTGTGATCTCTGGTCACACAATTAATAAGTTGCCTTAATATAAATTCTAGGACCTGTGGACATAGTTTCTCTATCAAAAGATCCATAGCCAACTTAAACATGAAAATAATTACCTGTTATAAAATATTTATGGGAAAAATATATTATTCTAGTTACAAAAGTACTTCTTAACATAAGAGTTTTACATCTAAGGGTTTATTCTCTTTATCTAATTAAAAGGATAAAATTAACCAACTGTACCTGTGGATAAACATAAGTCCCATGTAGGTTTAAAAGGATATTTGGCAGGGATTCTAACACTTTTTCTTAGAAGTAAATGATTGTTGGTTCTGTCATTCAAAATTTCTCTATATAAATTAAGAAGTCAGATGTTCAGTTTTTAAAGGATTAATTAATTGAAAAAGATTAGTGCTTAATGTGTGGGCTATGCAAGTTTTTCTACCTATGCAAAATGAATTCAAAATCAAAAATAACATAGTAATTGTTCACAAATAGATCCATACTGGCAATGATAGTTTCTGAATGTTAGTTGTAATGTAGTGGTTTCCAACTTACATAGCAATTAGTAGCACCTGAGGCAGCTCTTAAAAAGTTGCTCATGCTTGGGCATCGCCCTCCAAAGATTCTGATTTAACCAGCCAAGAGTGGGCTGTGATTTTTGTATTGTCTGAAGTTCTCAGGTGATTCTAATGTGCTGCCCTAATGTAGCGCTTTAATATACTGCTTAAAGATGAGAGGTGCTTATCTAGTAACTTAGGTTTGCAATGCTCATCTGAGTAGTCTCTGCGTTTGTTAATGAAAATATAATGTTTTGCTTTTCTCCAAATTATATCCCCTGTCTGCCAAAGGTTATGCTCACATTTTAATTAAACAGAATCATTCATTGAAAATGCACCAAATAATATTGTAGTTGGACATGTACTATATTGCAAAGTTCTCTCTTTCTCCCAGTGCTCTCACTGTTTTGTGCTCAGGTAATTAACCGTCCATCAGTTGGAGTAGCAGAGCTTGGCTTAGTCTCAGAGCTGTTTTATTGTTTCTCATCTTCCTATCATGAATGGTATCATTGACCTTCTGAGTTATAATGAGAAACACTAACAAAGCTAAACAGATGGTAATTACGAAGTAGCCATGACCCTCACCTGATTGGGGTTTTGGAACTCCGTGGCAATAACTATATAAGGTATTACAGTGATGGAGAGTCTGCTTAATAAAATTAGGAACCCAAATTGCTGCAATTATCCTATCATAATGCAGCCAAATGCTTAAGAATGTTAAATAATGCCTTTTTAATAAGTTCAAAGTCTCTACCTGCTTATCTACTTACTGATAAAGTGTTAACACATTTTAATTTAAATATTGCATTGTATGGTATCTTACAGTTGGTCATCATTCCTAAAAGTGTGTAAGAATATGTGTTAAATGGTTATAAATAAACTATATTTAATCATGAGAATGACTCAAATAACTTTCACTTGTGCTTGAAAAATAAGAAAAATATAGCCCAAAATTACACCTCCTCAAAACATGCTGTTATTTTCTGAAGATGATGCTTCTTGATAGATCTTTTGTGTCAGTAATGATAGGTTTCTTAGTTTAGACACTGTGCCTTACTATAATGCCTATAGCCCTAGCAGTGGTATGCACATGCTTCGTTCTAATTTGACTGCCCTGTAGTATGCCTAATGAAACATTTACATAGGCTTCTGTTCACATTAAGTGTTCAGGATGTCTACAAAATGAAAAACATTGAGTATAGTTGAATTGGCTGAAATTATTTGCTTTTCAAAATGTGTCTACACAAGGTCAAATTCAGTTCAATCAATTTGTGTGAGGGGGGAATAATCAGTTCAATGGCTGTGAACACTGCCCACCACACAGTAAGCAGGCAGAGATGAACTGAGTACATGAAAGTAAAACACGTAGCACAGTTCCCAACTCATGACAGTTAATAAGGTTAGATAACTATCTTTTTAGTTATTAATGTTAATCATTCAAATAAAACTCTTATGTGTCCTTCACTTAATTTTGGTTCTCATACACATAAGCCTCCTTTTGCATTTCAAATTATTTGGAACTATTTCATATCCAAGATACTGACTTTGAAATTGAGCTTGAAACACACTTATTCTTTAACTCTTCCCAATTCCATAGGAAATAACTTTTCATCCTTCATGGACAATTACAATTCCTTAGTTAATCCATATTCTCTTGTTAATAGCTCCCTTCAGGATAATTTTTCCTTCCCTTCTCCCTGCCCCTCTTCAAGCTTTTGCCATGTCAGTAAAAACTAGTTCGCTCCCTGGTTTCTCTGTCCCTACTTTCTGCAATTCTCAATTCTCTTTTGTAAATCTTAGTACCTGTGTGAATTTACCCTTTACTTCACTCGCTTCTGCTGCTAGACCCAGAGAATGATAGGTAAAGTGATAAGATGCGGCCAATTGGTTATGCAAGTTCATGTCATTGATGCTCTGCATAGCTTACAAGCTGTTAACTATTTTAACTATGTTTATTTATTCACCGGTCTTATTTTTAACTGGTTCTTTTCCAAAAGTGTCAGACTCTTCATAAAGACTTGGGGATGAAGGCAATGCACAAAATTTAAACTCTCTCAATCACGAAATCTAAGCCCTTCAAATCACATCCCTTCTGTATCTTCCCATGGCCTCTTCCGTCACCTGTCGCGCAGGAAAGAACATCTCTTTCCCTCTCGCTGTGTAGCATTTACGCTCGTACCAGCAGCAGGCTCTCTCCTGAACACTCTTTCAGACACTTGCTCATTGACCATAACATGTTTTATGCCTTTGATTTCTAGATCGTACCCTTGAGCTTACAAACTTGCTCAATTACATTTTGCTCTACACCTAAGTATATTTTCACTCCATCTTACTATTCTTTTCAAACTAGGGACACATATTTTCTACTCCCTTCACTGGTAACCTTAATGAACAGATACTTTTTACGTACTCCCTGAACTCCTTTTGACCTTCTAACTAGAAGCTGGATCCTACTCCCACCTCTATAACAACTCCTTTCTGAAAGGTCCCCCTTGGTTACAAACTTCAGTAGTCTTTCCTTAACTTCTTCATCTGAAAACATATAATTTAAGATGTCAGCCTTCCTGCTTCACTTTTTCACCTCTAGCTCCCACCGCATGGTCCTATAGTGTTTTCCCTGCTATTAATTTGTTCATTTTATGATTCTTATTGATGCCACTTCCTCTTCCTTTCCCTTGCCAGCAGCTACGAGAACTTGATCAAGATTCTAGTTTGACATCTGTCACATGAAGACAATATATCGCTATATTATTCTTCTGTATATACGTGCATATAATTAATTTTTCTCTTGCTCAAGCTGTAACCTCCCTGAGGGTCTGTCGGGGCACTTTTCTCTCCTATGCTTTCTATCTAGGTAAGGTCCTTCATCCTATGCCTGTAACTGGCACCTCTGTGAGGCTGACTTCTCATCCGTGTTCTCTGACCTTTTCCCTCTGTATGTGTATCAGTCATGACCTAATAATTACTTCTTAGATTTTTTTTTTTTCAAAAAATTCTCTGACTCCGCTCTGTATGTGTAACATAGACATGAGGATTTTCTGCCCCTCCACTTCCCTTTCAATATCTTGTATTTCCTTCCAGCAACTTAATACGAAACGACAAAATCATTTTTCAGCTACTTTCTTTGTTGTGCCTTATTCTATCATTTCCCAAATACTTTCTTTTTTTTTTTTTCTGAAGTACTTTTGACTGTCACCTATGTTATAATAGTCACTAGCCAATGTTATCCCTCTATTTCTAGCCATTTGCTAATAGAATCCTCTTAGAATTTAAGAATCTGGATGGCTTTAGATTCTTTTGCTTCTAACATTTATTAGAAATAAGTTAAATTATATTCAAAATAATTTTGCTTCCACAATTTATTCTACAAATTATAGCCAGATTAATTTGTTTATGTCCATGTTCCTCTAGAATGTTAACTGGATATTCAAAAATCTGTATTAAGTAATAAAGTCCAGCTTCTTATGCTGGCATCAATGATCTAATGCCACCCATGAGATCCTTTCATCTCCTTTTAACTGTTTCGGCATATGTGAAGTGTTTTTAGCTGTTACTAGTAAATGCTTCACATTTTTGTGCCTTAGAATATTTGTTTATATCCATTATTCACCTTGATTTTCTTTTTCAAACTCTCCTTATATGTTAAAACTTCCTTTGTCCTAGGCCCATATAAATGTTATATATTCCCTGTGGGCTGCCTTCCACATAACCACTGCCACCTGCCACCAAGCTGAATATAATCTTCCCTTCTATATCCCTCAATTTCTGCCTTTCTCAAGGCTTTTTTAGTTCTTACTGTATGTAGTATAATATTACATTTATTTCTGTAAACATTTCACCATGTCTATAAAAATAGCAAATATAGCAGATTAATAGTATTAAGCTCTTAATAGATATCTGTTGAAGAAATAACATAAACCAATGAGCAATATATGTCTGTGGCCACAAAATAATCTATTTGAAAGTTAAAATTACCTGAAATTGTATTTCTGAAATTCCAAAAAAAAGTTCTTTGCTCACTTCTGCTAAATTGAGTAAAAAAGATGCCTTCACTAATTCCAAAATTTTTAAAGGCTCTCT